GATCCAAGCATAACCTTGCTCCCATGTGGTTAACTGTACTTGTCCTTGATTTATTTATTCATTTGGTACCAAGGATTGAACTCATGACTGCTTACTTGGAACACGGGTGCTTATACCCCTGAACTAAAACCCCATCCTGTCCTGTTCCTTTAATTGAGGCAGAGAAAAGGCAAAATGTGGCCTGACCATGGGAAAAGGAAGATATGTAAGAAGCAATCTTTAAATCAGCTATGATGAGAGGCAGTCTCTGTGGCCACAATTGGACTGGGAGTTCTGGGTTCAGTGCCCCCATAGGAAGTAAACAAGCATTTACAACTCTTCTGTTTTGTAAGCACCTTCTTTTGCCTGATTTATTTTAGGTAAAACTCTTTTTTTTTTGTCTTTTTCATTTTTATCGGTACCAGGGATCGAACTCACGACTGCCTGCTTGCAAGGCAGGTGCTTATGCCGCTGAGCTAAATCCCCAGCCCCTGCCTGATTTATTTTAATAACAAAGATGGGAGTATTCCAAGGACTGAGTTTTTTAAATGTCCTGGCTGACATTGTTCCTACACTAATTTGTGTAATTGAACTAGCTTCTCCTTGTTATGAGGCCATTGATCTCCCCAAACAGGATCCTAGGTTTTCCTTTGTAGAAGCAGAGTTGTTTTGTGGAGAGAAGCATCAACAGCCCTTGTCAAAAACCATGCCTGTCATTTTTAGGTGTAGTACTTACAGACTGTTTGATTCCCTGTATGTTTCTATATTTTTAGTCCTCTGTCTTCTTGATATCCCATGTTAGTTATCATTTGTCTAATTCTAAGATCTCTATTTGGTCAATTTCAGAATTGGAACTTGCTTGTTTAATTTTAAGAATCAGAATCACTAAACATTAATGTCCACTTTTGTAATAAATCTCTTCTCAACAAATTGACAGGATTGGTGCCATGTGTAGTACAAAAGAAACCCTTTTGTTGGTGAAGCCTCTGTAAGGCACAAGAGAGGCACTCTGTGGTAAGTCCTGAGGGAACTGCAGTCCTATTAAGGAGGTTGGAACCTTTGTGTTGGCCACGTGGTGGGCCATTGTTCTAACGCAATTACAGACTCCTCTGTGCTTGTGTCTATTAGACCTTCAAAGTATTTTCCATTAATCTTTATTAGACACATAGGCCTGTTTTTAGCCACTTCCTATGTAAAAGTTTTCTTTTTGTAGTCTTGCTCTGAGCATCTTGGTACCTCATGAGCTGTCTATACTTAACAAAAGGCTTTTCTATAGGTAACAAAATCAAGTGCGATACATATTCTTCCTATTTAAAAAACCAGAGGTCCATAGCATGTGAAATAGGCTGTATCCCTTCTCAACAATCACCATCAGTCACACTAGACACAATAGTTATTCCTTCTAAGTTTAGGTCAGCTTTTCTCAGTACAAGACCAACTGTTCCTTCAGGTGTGGAACTCCAAACTGCTGTGAGAATTGGGCTAGGTAGGTCACCTCTGATAAGAGTGACTCTATGAGCTGTGGAAGATCTAACCCTGCATTTTCATTCCCTTGGTGAAGGAGCTATCATCTCTCCAGGGAGCCACCTTTATGTTTGCTGAACCTGCTGGCGTGTTTGCACCGGGTAAAGCTGGGTGACACTTCAATTCATAGGTTGTCTTTCCACTCCTGTTTGGTGGGTCTGAGGAAATGCCCTCATCTCCTTTTTAGCAAAGGTGTATCAACCTTATGGAATTTAGAATGAAAATGTTTTGCTCAATGCTTTCCTTTTTGGCATCTCAGAAAGGGTTCAGGAATGGGACCTGAGTCCTCCATGCCAGAGGCACTGCTGCAGCATCAGTGTTGGTCCTATTAGCTCCAGCAAGACTCTACAAGTTTTTCTGATATCCCATTTTTCCACAGTTAAAGCATTTCACATTACCCTGTTTTGCATTTGCCAGACTAACCAACCTGAGCCATCATTATTGTCCTATATGATTTAGTCTCAATATCCTGACAAGCTGGAATACATGTTGTTAAATCATTAGTTTATTTTATATGCTTTAAATCTTGTTTACAGTCTCAACAGGCACTTACACAAGCGGATTGTAAAACTAAAATGTCTGAAGCTTGCTTTTTTGGAACCAGGCTGTGAACAACTTCTTGTAATTTAGTCAAATTGAGTAAAGGGGTTCCTTGGGTCTTTGAAGAATGTAAAAAAGGACTGTACAGGAGTCTCATCCTCTGGAAAAGTTGGCCATGCCTTTTTTGTAACCTGCCTGAAGGGATATAGCCCATCAGGACATTCGATCTGTTCCCTGAGGGGCACATGCATTCCTGTCCCAGAAAGCATTTCCTCATTTATTGCCAAACTCAGGTTAGGACCTATCTTGTTTATGCGAGCCTGCTTGAAACAAGGTTATACACTTTACATCAGAATGAAGAAATTGAGAAGGAGACAGGTGCATTTGTGCTGCCTGATACCATACGGTGTCATCTGATATGTATTAAAAATACATTGTAAGAGTCCCGACAGTAAATGAGCTTTGAACTTCATTGTTAGCCACATTTTGTTTAAGCTTTTTAGCAGCTGTAATTTAAAAGACATATGAATAAAAATCTCCTGATCATTATCTTCTCGTTGAGTGCCACCAGGGAAGCAAGCAAGGGTGCCACTGACTTCTTTTGTGGCTGCTTCATACCTTAAAATCTGAAAACTTCTAGATAGAGCCAATATGAAAGGTCCCGGCTCCTATTAAGGTGGTCCCTTTAAGGAATGGACTCGAAACTGAATGAACCAGATTCCAAGTTGAGAACATCTCAGAGGAAATTACTTTTCCTCTAATATGTGCCTTTATAAGATTTTTTCCTGCTCTTTTCTACTTATCAATATCTATAGTACTTGTCCAAGGAAACCATGGATTTTGTTCTGTTACATTCTTGTTACATTCTTGTTAGGTCTTTGGTTGGTGGGAGCCCTGAGCATTTGAGCAGGCCTTGGAGCAGCTGTATGTATCTTTGCTCCTCAACTGGAAACTTTTAGACCATTTTACTGCCAATTAAAATGGCTCATTCACAGCTGGAAGATTCACCCTTGAAGGCTTCTCTTTCCTCTTTTCTCCAGCCATCCCTGGTGAAGTTTTTATTCTGTGAGTTCCTCTTTGTCTCCCACATTTTCCACACTAAGTAGACTTACTCATTTAGGATAAAATTTCCAGTCCAAAGATTTTAGGTCTCTTTCTCAGATGCCATTTATTGTGGATGGATCATGTCCATAACCTTCCAAATGAAGGGACAGACAAGGCTTAAATAAAGGAGCCAAATGGTATGATTTGAAAGCTCTAAGAAGATCAAAACCCTCTAGCAGAATTTGAGATCCTCTGGGGGCTGAGACCAAGAACTTCTCTGGGTGGCCCACATTTGTTTGAATTTCAAACAAAGGGAGAAGAAACTGAGGAAAATGTGAATTGAACAAGACATTGAGATTCAGTTCAAAGAATTCTCCAAGTATAAAAATCATGTTAATTTAGGAGAAATCTTATCTCTAGGCTGGCATTCATAGAAGGACTGAGACAGCAGGAGTGAGATGCCTGCAGTTACTGTCTTTATCTAGTTAATTGAGATTGGAGCCAAGAGTCCTCAGTTGTGGCCTTATTTTGTCCTTTGAGGTTTCACTGGCATCACAGCCAGGACTAGGGATTCATAGAGGTTCACTTATTACCAATCTACTGCCCATCTCCAGACAAGAAGCTTAGAGCTTGGACAAACTAACAAATGAACAGAGAAAGCCAATTGGCTAATTTTATATTCTGCTTAGAGCCACTTTGCAGTGGTCTTCATCAGCCTGTCCCCTATAGAAATCAACAGAAAGAAGCTAAAAGGAGGAGAACAGTGTAATTTTGGTCCATCTGATCACACTATCATGATTCAAACAGACACACCGAGAAGTGTGCTTTATTAATACCCTGTATATCTCTCAAGCCAAACAGTTATTAATAGGAGTATATCATATGACTCTAGGTAATTTTTCCCAGGAATTTTAACTTTGAAAGGTGGAGAATTTTAACATGTGATGAGCCTGGACAGGTCATAGTGAGTTTACATCCTAAAACCATTTTGCATCCCGCCTCATCATGAGGAAGTGACCAGATGGATGAAATTCGGTGCTGTTTCAGCAGTCTTTCTGACCCTCACACTGAAAATACGTTTATCTTCAAAATTTTGCTATTTTATAGAATGCTGGATTAAGCATGAAGCTTGTCTGAGCAACTAGGAATGCTTGGTCTTTTTTTTTTTTTCTTTTTTGGCTTTTTAAGACAGGGTCTCACTATGCATTCAGACTGGCCTTGGGCTTACTTTGTAGCCCAGGCTGGTCTCCAACTTGCAATGATCCTCCTGCCTCAGCCTCCCTAGTGCTGAGATTACCGGTGTGCACTACCAAACTTGATTTTCGTCTTTCATCTTTACGCATTTGCGAATATTACTAACATGCAACTCTAATATTTTCACTTACACAATAATCGTACTCCTCCGAGGGGCCATATATGCATCGTCAGAAATGAAAATGAGACTGAGAGACAGTGTGAAAATCTTGGCAATGAATCAGAGAATCTCATGCCCAAATGCAAACCCTCTCTCTATTCTAATTTCTTCTGGCCCTGATTTATGATGTTTTCTGACATCAAGGGATTGATTCTTTCACGGGACAGCCACCCTGGATCCTTCTGAGCACATTTATGACCCATTTTCAGGAAATAAAGCCTCTAAGCCCTTTAAGAATATGACGGGATCTCTGCAACTCCAGGAATAAAGCCTTTAATGCAACCAACCATTCCTCAGAAGTGAGACTGATATCCTGGGAGAGAGACTGGTTCAGAAATTCCTGGGTTACCGTTAATCATTTGAGCTCCACCAATGCTGATAGAGATTCGTTTCTTTTACAGGCTTAACTGAGTTGGGTGGCAAAGGAGCAGGAGCAAATCAGCGATGAAGGCGGGCTGTCTGAACTACCCAATCAGGGGGCGCGAAGGGGTGGGCACTTCCTGTGTCATGGCGCCACAGTGCGTATGCTCAGTGCATTGCTGACACCTCCCGCCTGACTACCCCGTCATATTTCATAATTTCTACTGGCTGCGAACTGCATTGGAAGGATTTCTGGGAGACCATCAGGCTACACAATGGTGACGTTGTGGGACGACAGCTGGGGATGGGAGGAATCTGGTGCTTTTTGGATGTTCGTGGTCAGGAACAGCCTTGTTGATCTGTAGCCTCCCTGCTTAGCTCCGGATTCCGAGGCCTTGCTGGGTTCCGGGGCTACGTCGTCAACTGAAACGTTTCCCCTTCGTTCAGGCAGGGACAACGCTGCGTCCCCAAGATGCTCTGACGCTGCCAGCCCAGGATACCTTCCTGGGCGGCCCCCGGCAAAGCTGTATCGCCAGTAGTCTGGAGCTAGCAGGACTGTAGGGAAATCCTGGGTTTCATACAAGCTATAAAACATCTCATCACTTTAAATTTTTATATGAGACCTCTGTTTGCAATTGTATTACTGCACGAACAGAGCTCGTGGTCTCAAAACATTGAGGAATAAAGTCGCAAACGAAAAGGATGTTAGCAGAGATTTTATTGCAAATAGCTCCCTGATTTCTGGAAGCGTCCCCAGTGGGTGACCCTGTGTTCTCTGGATCCAGAGCTAATCATGAATAAGCAGAGTCCAGTAAATGCTCAGGTGTTTAGTGTCCACGTATCCCAGATGGCTCTGTGGTTTTAAAACAATCACTTTGTACTCAGGCTTTACCCATTTCCTGTTAAAAGGAAAATGGGATTTCAGAGAAACACTGGATAGTTTGTGTTTTACATTCCTGGAAATTCAGACACTTAGGAGAGAGGGGCTGCATTCCTTGTTGAGGAAAAAGTTTAGTTGGTTCAAATTTCTGGGTAATTGGCTCTTCTCATTTTAATTCTTATCAAAATGGCTGATTTCCCAACTCTGTGTGTGGTCCTTCCTTAGTTAATTGCCTTATTTATAAGCTAGCTGTCTTAATTATTCTTCACAGGTACATTATTTAATTGAGGCTTTCCATAGAATTTTGAACACTAATAAAGATGGATGTGTTCCGTGTTACCAAAGGAGGGCAAAGTGTTCCTGCTAAGAAATAACTACCTGGAGGGGCTTCCTGTTAAAGCCACACTGAGTTACGTGTTGTACTGGGGCATTTACAGGGAGGTGCTCATGTGATATTGATATGATTGGAAAGGCAAAGGTGTATTGTTTCTGAGCTATCTGCTTTGTAGTCTGTGGGCCATTTACAGACTTGTTTTAAAAAAATTGAAATATTGAGTATTTTTATGTAAAACATACTGAAGTAGGTGTAAATTCCCATAGTTAAGCTCTGCAGGCATATGACTAAATAGAATAAATGGGTTTTTTGAGCAGTCAGGAACAAAGGGGAATAAAAAGGAAATGGGAGAGCCGGAGTTTTTGGAGGATGGCAAACATCATCAGCTACAACAGTAAAATTCTCCAAAAGTGAGATTTTTCTTATAGTGGAGGATTGTATGCTTCTTTATTCTGAGATTGGGTCAAAGGTCACAAGCTTAGAGAAGGAAGGAGAGTTTAGTAACAGAAGTATTTGTTCTGTGAATACAGATGAGCGTACCTATCATTTTACAGCAAAATTAGAATTTGGAAACTAGTCTTGGGTGTTTAAAAGTAGGCATCTTTCCTGATATGGAATGGGAAGGGGATTTCTTTGGATACAAAAGATTTCAAGCTGTGTCTGATCCTCTTCATTGTACAGGGATGGAACTCAGGAATTTTGCCCCTAGCTGCTCTGCTTAAATGATTTTTCTTTTTCTTTTTTTGTTTTTAATTTTTGAGATCAGATCTTACTAAGTTGCCCAGGCTTGGAAAACATTATGATAATCTCTATGTCCTGGACTATTGGGAACATAGACCTGTGCCACCTTGCTAGTTTAAAGACTTGAGTCTTCAATCACCATGATATACCAAGATTTCAGTGCTAGGGTAAAGTAAATACCACTGAGGCATGGCGGTGCACACCTTTAATGCTAGCTACTTCGGAAAATTTGGCAGAAGCATTAAATCACCAAACACCGCCTGGTTAACTGAGGAAGACCTTTTTTTCAATATGAAATAAATTTGTTGTGGTATACCTGCGGTCCAAACTAACTTGTCTAATGTGCACAAGGACTTGAGTTTAGTTTTAGTAATAAAGAGAAAAAGAAAATTTTAGTGGAAATCTTAATTTTGAGTCTTACTCATTTTTCACACTAGTGGTACATAGATTCTTATGGTGGTGTATAGCAGTAACAATTTAGTGTTGTATCAGAAACAGGACACCATGGGGGCAGCAACCACACTTACAGTGTACTTTATTCAATAAAATGTACGAGATATTTAGTGTCTTACTATGAATTTGACTTTGTGTTCCATAAATTTCCCCAAATACACCTCAAGATATGTGTAGTGAACAGGTTAAAAGGACTCAAGGCTTAGTTATGAATTTTGCTTAATTGGGTTTATTCTGTGCTTTTTCAATACATTTTATCTTCATTTATCTTTGGCTTGATGTCTCTTTTCAGCTCAAGAAGCCCTCTAGATTCATTTGTTCAACTCTTCATAGAGTCGTCTGTACAACATGACACTCACTACATTGTTTCTCATTTTGAATGCTGTGTTAATCAATTTTTCCTGTGCAACCCAAATCTGAGAAGAGAATAATAGTGTTTCAAAAAGTGAAAAATACGCTGCCTTTGTGTTTGTTTTGTTTTGTTTTTAGCTTTGGTTTGTTTTTTTTTTTTTTTTTTTTTTTTTTTTTTTTAATTATAAAGAGCTGCCCCACTCTGGTGACACTGTTTGGATTACATCACCTAGAGAAGGGAATAGGATAAGTTTCACTGGAAGAACACAGGGCTGAGTAGGTGGAGCACAAGACACCAGTGGTGTCAAGGTTGAAAGGGAAAATATTCCACTTTGTTGTTTTCATTTGTGCTCATCATGGAAACCGTTATAACTTCTTTAACCTTGGATCATCATCTGCCTCTCTACACTGGAATTACTCCTCCTGAAACTACTTTGTGTTCCAAGTCTATAGGTATACTTTATTATCCTATACTTAGAATATCAAATATTTATGAAATTATTAATAAATATTTTGTTATCTCATTTGTTCCTATGTTTTCAAAGAATAAAGTTTCTACTTTTTTTTTTTTTTTTTTTTTTCTGGCAGGGTATTCCTGTTAGTTTAATTTGGCCTTGAGCTTACTATGTATACCAGGTTGGCTTCAAACTCAAAGTAATCCTCTTGACTCAGCCTTCCAAGTGCCGGGATTATGGGCATGTATCACCACACCTAGATTTATATCTCCTAATAACACTGATGGCTCCTTGATTTTTTTCCCCCCCTGGGGAAACTGCTTTTTCACGTCTAAAAATTAATGTTATAAAATTCAAAGGAATTCAGTGTATCTTTCCCATTTGAATATGCAATTTATGTAGAAGTGTAGGACAGTTTAGATTTTTAAGTCCATACCCTTTTCTCTCTAAACATAAATTAAACATACTGTGAGTTCTTCTAGAGATGTTTAAACCACCTGCATCATGAATCAGTGTTCTGTTTACCTGTAGATACACAGAAGGCTTTCTCTAAGTTTTGTTTTTGGAGGGGTAGTTTGACACAGGATCTCACCATAATCTTGACAGGCCTTGAAGTAATAACTGGAGCTGTACTTTGGATTCATATCAATTCTCAAACTCATAGAAATCTTCCTTCATCAGCCTCCCAAGGGCAGGGATCATAGCCATGTACACCACACCTGGCTGAAGTTTTCCTTTTGTAATTAGAGCCTGATTACTTTGTATTATCTCCATTTGTAATGTGTTCTATGTATTTTATTCCTGTTCTTCCTGTTATTAAACTCCCTTAGATGTTCCTAGGATTTCTTATATTGAAGTGCAAGTTGATCATTTGGTGTCATTGAACTATAATATGTCACCCTTCTACTGTTTTCCTTGTCCTTAGACTTACTCTGATTGTACTATTTTTCCACTGATGTTTTCATTATTACTCATAAACTGTTTAATGTTTTATTAAGTTTTTTGTGTGAAACCAGATTGAGATTCCAAAGTGCAGCCAGAGAGCATCAAAGAAAGAGTTACTTAATTGTGTGAAGAATTAGATTTGAAAACAGTTATCATCTGTGGTCTATCAGAACCATTCGGTAGATATTTATGTTTGCCTGTGTTTTATGAGTGGTCATTTGCAGGCACCCTCTTATGAGCTCTCCCTTAGAAACAATGCACAAATAAAATTTCTGTGACCCGACAAGCAACAAGTTCTTCTATTCTGCTATAGCTAGAGTTGTGAGCTGGAATCTAGCATCAGAATTACTGTGTAGAAACTAGTGTGTGCATGTGTTTGGCAACCAAAGCAAGAAGTTTATATTTGAAGCCATCAACTTTAATTCAGCTTTTATAAGAGGAGTTAAAGCTCTCAGGCTGTGAATGTGAACCTTCTTCAGGAAATACATGTATAATTGTTTAGGAAGCAGTGACCATGGAAGATGTGCTTGTGAACTTCACCATGGAGGAGTGGGCTGTGCTGAATCCATCCCAGAAGAAGCTCTACAGAGATGTGATGTGGGAGACGTTTATGAATATGACTGCTGTAGGTAAGGGTGACGCTTCCTCATTTACACAATGAGAACATTGGTTCTTGCTGATGGGTACAGATTCGGTAAATAGAATGTGAAAGTATTTTGAAGAATATCTCAGACCAGTGATCTGGGATTTAGCTCAATGGCTTAAGTGCCTGCCTAGCAAGGGGAAGGTCATGAGTTCGATCCCCAGTACCAAAAAAAAAAACAAAAAAAAAAGAAAAGCAATGTAAAGGAATATCTCAGGCCAACTTTATACCATGGATGTAACTGCTGTCTTCTAATTTTTATAGAATGGTAGTGATTTTTTTTTTTTTTTTAATTTCTATTCAGGAAGGACCTGGGACTACCAGCAAATAAAAGAATACAAATATTGTTCAAGAAATTTAAGGTAACTTATATTTACAAGTAAAACTTAATATTCCCTTAGAGTGTAATGTGTAAGCAGAAATATTACAGACAAAGAAACTTAACAAAGGAGACTATAGTCTAATTAATTTAATCTTACAAAAATTCTCCAGCTATACATACAGATTGATTTTCTAAAATCTGACACTTGAATACAGAAATGTTCCGATACAGGAAACTATTTTAGTAGTGATGTTATGCAACAAGAGACACTGTCATATATCAGTGTACAATATTGTTTCGTGATCTTAACTACGAAAACCAGTGAAATTACATACTGTGTATAGGCATATATGAAAAGAATAAATTTTGTACTTTGACAGGAATTCATCATCAAGATATATTTTTGTGTATATATGAATATGAAGCATACATTTTCTAAAGAACTGCTAACCTGGAAGCACTATTCAAAATGAAAATGCATCCTATTGTACTAATACATGATTTGTAAACACCCTCCAGAGAATTGAAATTTAATATTCTTAGAAGGGACCCTCTTATGTTGTAGGTAGGAACATAAAATAGAAACATTCTAATAATCAACACAAAGATATTTCAGAAAATAAAACTAGAAATTTGCATTTGATCTAGTAAACTTCCCTAAATATATTCTGAAAGGACATAAAACTTTCCTATCTTTGTGACACATGCATACTTGTACTTAGAGCTACACTGCTCTATCCATAGTATGGATCTATCATATCCATCAGTATTCACAGTGGCTACTTTCTGGAAATCAGTACTAATCCTTTGTATTCACTAGATGCCCATCATTTTGTGCATGGATAAAGAGCATGGGGTGGGGGGCAGACTCACCATAGTCATACCTTCCTATAATCCCCCCACAATGGATGAGGCTGGTGAGCAGGATGACACCATGAAGGTCACCCTGACCAGATGACTAATCAGTGAAAATCGCTCTCAGAGAAACTAGAAGAGTGATTTATGGCTAAGACTGGTTTAATTCTCCGCACTGAAAAAAACATGCTATATATTTGGCCATAAGGAAGAATAATATACCTTTTGACAAATAAAAAATAAGTGGACTCCATTTCATTAAGTTAAATGAAATAAGGCAGTCACAGAAAGTGAATATCTTGATTAATTTTCTTTTATATGAGATACCAAAATGTAAATTATGGAGTAAAATTAAGGAGAAGTGATAGGCTAATTTTTTGGAGATGGAAAAGATAATCAGGATGAGGAGAAAAGTGGTAAGAGATATGGGAAAATGTCTCAAAAATGATCAGTGTGAAATACACCTAAACTAGACTTTGTGTATTGCAAACATTTATCCATTTAAAATTCCCAAATTAATAAAATCCTTGGGGAAATGAGTGTTTTTAGAGGAAGCCTCCATGGAATTCAGCCTATTAGTCCCAAAATTTCTTACCACCCTGAAGCTGAAACTTGTCCTGGTAAATTATTGACATGGAGACCTTTTTTATTGTGATTGATATTTTTGGTTGTTTTGTTTATTTTATTTTTTTTTCTTTAAAGAAATAAAGAGGCGGTAAAATTCTATCAAAATAAAACTTGGAATCAACATGAAAAAATACTCCTTTGGACTTCAGCTCTGAAAATGGAGATGCAACATTCTGCTCTAAAGGCAGCTAAAAGCCTTGCTTGTAGAAAATCCCTGTCTGGCCATTTATCACAAAATATGTCCATTTTTCCTGACACTGTACTGAAACAACATGGATATATGAAATTTGATGGCAAGCAGGGTGATTGTAATGAACATGGAAAATCCTGCAGCGATTTGCAGTCCTTTCAGAAGCATGCAAGGACAAAGCCTGAAGAGAATCAACATAAGCGAGGTGTGAACACCTTTTATGACCCTAGGGAAAGAACTCACCTTGCAGAGGAGACCTTTGTATGGAAGAAAAGAGTAAAGAGCTTCAGCCCTCACAGTGGATTTAGAATCCCTGACATAATTCACACTGGGAAGAAACCCTATGTATGCAAGCAATGTGGAAAAGAATTTGCTGATAATCCTGCATTTTATAGACACAAATGCACCCACACAGGTGGGAAACCCTATATATGTAAGCAGTGTGGGAAAGCATTCACTACACTCAGTTATCGTAAAATACATGAAAGAAGTCACACTGGGGAAAAACCGTATGTATGTGAGAAATGTGGAAAAGCATTCACTAGACAGATGTGTTGTAAAATACATCAAAGAAGTCACACAGGGGAGAAACCCTATGTATGTCAGCAGTGTGGGAAAGCATTCACTACATTGAGTTATTGCAAAATACATGAAAGAAATCACACTGGCGAGAAACCGTATGTATGTGAGAAATGTGGAAAAGCATTCACTAGACAGATATGTTGTAAAATACATCAAAGAAATCACAGTGGGGAGAAACTCTATGCATGTAACCAATGTGGGAAAGCATTCACTACCCTGAGTTATTGTAAAATACATGAAAGTAGTCACAGTGGGGAGAAACCCTATGTATGTAAGCACTGTGGAAAAGCATTTGCTACACAGAAGTACTGTAAAGCGCATGAAAGAAATCACACTGCTGAGAAACCGTATGTGTGTGAGAAATGTGGAAAAGCATTCAGTAGACAGATGTGCTATAAAATACATGAAAGAATTCACACTGGGGAAAAACCCTACACATGTGAACAGTGTGGAAAAGCATTTAGACAACAGAGTAATTTTAAAATGCATGAAAGAATTCACACTGGGGAAAAACCCTATACATGTAGTCAATGTGGGAAAGCATTCACTACACTGAAATATTGTAAGATACATGAAAGTAGTCATACTGGGGAGAAGCCCTATGCATGTAAGCACTGTGGGAAAACATTCATGCAAAAGGGTACCTGTCAAATACATGAAAGATCTCACACTGGGGAGAAACCCTATATATGTACATATTGTGGGAAAGGATTCAGTGCACTCAAATGCTGTAAAAGACATGAGAAATCTCACACTGGGGAGAAACGTTTTGTGTGTAAGCAATGTGGGAGGGGGTTTACTACACGCAAATATTTTCAAAAACATGAAAGAACTCATGTGGGTGAGCAACCCTGTGCAAGTAAACTGGAATAAGACGTGCTAGTCCACAGATTCTTAGGTCTCGCCCTGATTTGGAGCCCCATGTATATAAGCAGTGTGGGGACAGTATTCAGTGAGCAGTTTTTATAGACTACATAGAAGTCACACAGCAGAGAAACCCTATATATTTAAGTCTGTTTTGAAAATCTTGTGAAAATTCCTCATGTAGAGATTTATATAAATTTAATAGAAATTTTGATGTCTGTATTCCTAAACAAATTTTCCAGAAAATACAATCCCAGATGGAGATATACTAGAGTATTCCTTTTGTGTTTTTCCGTAAATCACTCACAAATACCTGAATTATGTTTCTGTTGTGTCGTCGCCGCCCCCCCCCCACCACCACCACCAGGGAATGAACTCATGATCTTGCACTTACCAAGCAAGAGCTTGAATCACTAAGCTAAATCTCCGGCTATGTATCTGTTTTCTTTATTACAAAAAATTGACATTGTTTTGTAAGCCATTATTTATAATGTATACTGTCTTCTAATTAAACAAGATGAATTGAACTGCATTTTTTACTTTCAAGTAGGATATTTATGTAGTTTTAATTCTGTTTTTATTATCAGGAAATAAAGAGTAAATTATTGTCTTTTAATGCATGGATTTACTCATTAGCTTTGATTTTAATTTTCTTGGTGTACACACTTAATATTCAGTGTAGAAAAGATTTTTGAATTTGATGTTATGTATACATGGAAACAAACATTTTGGAAAATTCATTTGTTTTCACAACTTGTATTCTGTATCTTTATTTCTGTAGCTGATCATGGGGTCATAGCTGGTATTTAGAACTAAATTATACTACCCATTCTGTATTTCCTTGGCATTGAGGAAGCACCTCAGCAGGTGTTAGTTCTTTCTTTGATATGGTGGCCCATACCTTTAGTACCAATGTTCCTTGACCACTGGACATTTTGCCAAGATTGTTTTAATATCCTCTTAACTTTAATAGAAGGGTATAGTAATACTAGGATGCACCCCAAGGGTTCTCCTACATGTCAAGTATATTTTTTTCTTTCCTCCATTGGGCAATAAGGTTTAGTTCTCCCTTGACAGTCTGGGTCAGTCATCTCACTTAACACTGTAATGCCCTTTTTAGCTTGTTTCCTCAGAGTCATTAGGAGAATAAAATGGCTTGGGGAAGTCTTCGTGTTCAGTTCAGTGATATCATTGTTGTGCTTCCTGGCCCAGGTCTTTGCCCTTCTGGAATTAAGACCTCTTTAAGACAGAAGAACATAAGCTCATGAGAATAGGGTGCAAAAATTTTTCTTGTAGATCACTACAAGTAATGCAGTGTGATACCCCTCTTACTTCACACCTTCATTACTTGACCTATAAATCATTAAAGGGCTTCTGAGTCTGTAAACTCTGTGCTGATTGAAGGTCTGTAATTCCATTATTACTTTTTGAAGTAAATTTCTGTTCATTTGCCCTTTTTAATTTTATAAATCTAAAATTTTTTTAGGCTTTCTATCCACTTCATTTTTGGAAACACCATGGATAATCAGCAAACACCATAGGTCTACACACACCTGACAATTCTGATCATTGTCCATTTTGGTAAGTGCAAGAACTTAGCTTTGGCAATCCTGGGTTGCCACTTGAATTCTACCACTATTAGATCTAATCAAACTCCCTTAACTTTCCCAGTTAGGAGTCTGTGGTCCCTATTGTCAGGTCTAGCATACAGAGAAGAGCAATGACGAGGGTTTTGAAGGATGCTGTGTACTCTTCTCATGAGTGCATTTCTTAAGGTTTCAGTGAAGATTGAATTTTCTGGAACATTCCAATGTGACAGGTTAGGATTGACATGGCAAATCCATTGCAGCTTTTCCATTCCTAGTCCTCTGAATCCCCTCATCAACAGTAAACCATGGAGTGTCAGGCATCTCACAGCGGATCCTATTTTGAGGCATGCTTTGCCAACTAGTGAAATAAACTATTAAAACCATTCTTCCAATAAGCTGCAACATTAAGTTCAGAATCACCTGTTCACAGGCCCATATCATTAAACTTAAACTGATATAGGTTTATATTTTACCATCATTGCCCACTATACAAAAATTCCATCCCCACGTTACTCATCATACCTGTGCATATAAGACTTACAAAATTCAAGTTCTTTGGGAAAATCATTTACCTCCTCATGGGTCACAGTATGTACCTCATGCATAGGAATCTTTTGTGATTTGTTTCTGGTTATAGGCATAGAGACAAAAGTGAGTGATCTGAGCAAGTCAATAACAATATCCGCATGATCATGCTTGGACAATGTAGTATTAGTTTCCTCATATATAGTGGTAGAAGCCACATCCACTGGGGTGGTAAAGCTACATCCACCACTGTGGTGTGGAAGTCTCTTCCTCTGGCATACTAATTTTGAGAGTCTATACCATCAACACCCTCAGCCTCATCAGGATCCTCTTAAGTGTTTGTATCCTTCTTTAAAGGGCACCACTGTTTTCTGATCAGTGCCCTCAGCTTTACTCAGATAACTTTTGAGGCTGAGTATTGAATTTACACTGTACTGCAGCTAATCAAATTTTGCTGTTTGGATTTTTCCAATCTTAAATGGCTAAAAGAAAGATTCTCTTTCAGGACACACTTAGAAAATTTAATATTTTTAATGTGTGTCTGGAATTGGGATTTGAATTTTAGAATTCCTTTTTTAATGTATTAATTTGTCCTCAGAGAATTTTATTGTATAGGAAGGGGTTCACCTTATTGCCCCTCATTAGCTTGTTCAGAGATGCTTAGGGTAACCAGACCTCACCATTGTATTTCCCACTCTGCCAAAAATATTCTAAAGTTTAATATATATAAAGTCTATAAATTTCTTATATTTCATAATTGGTGAATTAAGACAAACAAATAGATCTGCATCGTGTATTAATTCAAGCACTTCACAGCAAGGGTTATCAGTATTCCCCACAGTACTAGGAGAGACCATGTTGTCTTTAGAGCTCATCAAACTAGAGAGCCAGCTCTGGGATACTCTAAAGATGTTAAAGAACTTCATCCTCCCAATTCTGTTTTTCTCGAGCTGTTCCCAGTACCAAAATCTCTATCATTCAGTGCTTACTAATGAAACAGATTTATCGTAAAATATACAAATTTAAAAGTCTGGCATTCAGTGGCCACTCACATAGTCATATGTGGAACAGTGCAAAGGTCTGTCCATGAGCTGGAGAAATGAAGCATCTGTTTGAATACCTGGAGCCCAGTATAGTTTTCAGTGTCACTGTCAGATGGCCAAAGGTTCTATGCCACAAGGCCATATTGTCTTTGCTGGAGGCTAAAGAATCTGTGCTGGAAGCCAGGAGACAATGTCCAAGTTGAAGATGTACACTGGAACTACACCAAAGAAAAAGAACCAATAATTTCTTCTTTGTTTCTCTTTTGTAATATTTTGCAACAGTCCTCTGTAGAGTTGATCTTCTATACTCATAATCATGCTTTTCCCATTTAGTTAGGCATTTTTCATTCACATTGACATAGTAATCTATGCCTATTTATAAATCCCTGCAAAAAGTATGGTTGATGGCATGATTTATCAGGAACGAACGACACTGCCAAAGGAATTTTTGTCAACAGTGGACTTGTTTTGGGGACAATGATTGTTATTGGACGTCATGAAGCAAATGCTTTTGTTCTATTCCATGATCCTGTCAATGTTACTTATTCCTGTGTCAGGGTGTCACATACAGGATGACTAGTAAAGCATGAAAATATACAATGTACATTAGTGAAGCTGGAAAGTCTAAGAGCAGAGCACAAAAATGCTAGTGAAACATTTCCTGCATGATACATGGTTGAGTGTTAGGTAAGTGCTAATGTAATAGCACAGGTGAATCCTGTTTTATGAGATGCCCACCCCAGTCATAAATGGAAATAACAGACAAAGATACTGACTTTAAAAGACCCAAAATCCATAGAGAAAGGAAAGAAGCCGAGAGGAAGGAGCCAGGGATAGATTTGGTCCCTCAGGTCACACTGTCATGATTCAACCAGGCACACCGACAAGTGTGCTTTGTTAATAGCCTATACATCTTTCAAGCCACAGTTATTAACACAAGTATCACTTGACTCCTGGTAAATTTTGACAGGTGGAGAATTTCAACACCTGATGGGCCAGCTTACAGCCTAAAGCCATTTTGCACCCCTGCCACATCACATGGAGGAATTAATCAGGTGGACAAAATGTGGAGCAGTTCCAGCAGCTTCTCTGGTCTTCACACTGCAAATACCTTTATCTTCAAAAATTGTGGTATTTTATAGAACCTTGGATAAAGTATGAAGCTTTTCTGACTGGGTAGGAATGCTTGCTTTTTAAAAATTTTTACTCATTTTCAAATATTGCTAACATGCAACTCCAATATCTTCATTTACACAATAATTGTTTCCCTCTTGGGGCCACACTCATTTTCATTGATGAAAATGAGACTAATGATATGAAAAAGAGAGATAGTGGGAAAATCCTGGTAAGGAAACCACCTGCCTCTTTCCCAACAGCAAGGATTCCCTCTATTCTAATTTGTTCTGGCCCTGATTAATGATGTTTTCTGACATCAAAGGATTGACTCTTTCACTGGACACCAACCCTGGAACGTTCTGAGCACATCTGTGACTCATTTTCAGGGAATAAAGCCACTAAGCCCATTAAGAAAACCATAAGATCTTTGAAAACCCAGGAGAAAAGCCGTTAAATGGAAGCATCGCTTAAGAGAAGTGAGATTGATACCCTGGGAGAGGGACTGGTCTAGCAATTCCTGGGTTACACTTTATCCTTTGAGCTCCACCCCTGCTGAAAGAGGTTTGTTTCTCTTGCAGTCTTCCTTGAGCTGGGTGTCAAAAGAGCAGGAGCCAGTCAGCGATGAGGGCGGGCTTGGTCTAACTAACCAATCAGGCTTGGTGAGGGAGGTGGGCACTTCCTGTGTCATGGCGCCACTGTGCTTATCTTCAGTACACTGCTGACAGCTCCTGGCTGACTAAACCATCGTATTCCATAATTTCTACTGGTTGCGAGCTGCATTGAAAGGATCCTGGGAGAACATCAAGAATGGTGACGTTGTGGGACGGGAGCTGGGGATGGGAGGAATCTGGTGCTTTTTGGATGTTTGTTGTCAGAAACAGCCAGGGCGATCTACAGCCTCCCTGCTCAGCTCCAGCTCAGAAGCCTTGCTGGGCTCCGGGGCTGCGTCGTCATCTGAAACGTTTCCCCTTCGCTCAGGCGGAGACAGCGCTGCGTCCCAAGCGTGCTCTGACGCTGCCAGCCCAGGATACCTTCCTGGGCAGCCCCCGGCACAGCTGTATCCCCAGCAGTCTGGACCTAGTAGGGCTGTAGGGGAAATTCTGGGTTCCATACAAGCGATAAAACATCCCATCACTTTAAATTTTAAAACATCTCATCACTTTAAACTTGTGTGTGTGTATGTATGTGTGTGTGTGCGTGTGTTAGACATCTGTTTGCAATTGTGTTACTGCGCGAAGGGAGCTCGTGGTCTCAAAACAGCAAAACATTAAGGAATGAAATCGCAAACGAAAAGAAGGATTTTAGAGACTTTATTGGAAATAGAATAATAGCGCCCTGATTTCTGGAAGCGTTCCCACCCAGTGAGTGGCCCTGTGTTCGCTGGATCCAGAGCTAATCATGAATAAGCAGAGCCCAGTAAATGCTCAGGTGTTTAGTGGCCACCTATCTCAGAGAGCGCGGTGATTTTTAAAACAATCACTTTGTACTCAGACTCATTCCATTTCCTCAGCATGCACTGTTAAGAGGAAAATGAGATTTTTGAGAAACGCTGAATAGTTCGTGTTTTACATTCCTGGAAATTCAGATGCTTACTAGGGAGGGGCTGCATTCCTTGTTGGGCAGGAAGTTCAGTGGGTTCAAATTTCTGGGTGATTGGCTCATTTTAATTCTTATCAAAATGGCTAATTTCCCAACTCAGTGTGTGGTCCTTCCTTAGTTAATTGCCTCATTTATAAGCTGGCTGTCTAACTTATTTGTCACATATTCACTATTTAATTGAGGCTTTCCATAGAATTTTGAACACTGAGAAAGATGAAGGTGTTGTTCAGGTTTTACCAAAGGAGAGCAAAGTGTTCCTGTTAAGGAGCACTTCTGTTAAATCCACAGTGAGATATGTGTTGTACTGGGGCATCTACAGGGAGGTGTACATTTGATATTAATATGATTGGAAAGGCATAGGAGTATCATTTCTGAACTAACTGCTTTGCAGTCTATGGAACATTTATAGACATTTTTTAAAAAATTGAAATATTAAATGCTATTTTTATCTAAGACATACTGAAGTAGTTGTAAATTCCCATGGATAAGTTATGCAGGCATTTGACTAAATAGAATAAAAGGGTTCTGATCAGTCAAGAGCAAAGGGAAGTAAAAAGGAAACAAGAGCAGGGGCTTTTGGAGGGTGGCAACAATCATCAACTACAACAGTAAACTTCTCCAGAAGTTGATTGTTCTTAGAGTGGTAACAAATGAAGAATTGTGACCTGGCTTGTCCTGGGATCGGGTCAAAGGTCACAGGCCTAAAGAAGAGAGAGAGCTTAGTAACAGATAAATATTTCTTCTGTAGCTATTGATGAGCTCATCTAATCATTTTTAGGTTAAAATTAGAATTAGGACACTTGTATGCTTAAATATAAGATGGATATCCACAGTGATGTAAAATGGGAAGAGATTTCTTTGGATACAAATGATTTGAAATTGTGCCTGATCCTTTTGATTGTACTGGGATGTAATGCAAGAATTTTGCCACTAGCTTGTGTATCTAAATGATATCTTTTTCTTTTTTGTGTTTTTAATTTTCGAGACCAGATTTTACTAAGTTGCTCAGGTTTGGAGATATTTTGATAGTCTCTTCTCCCTTGACTGTTGGGAACACAGACCTGTGCCACCTTGCTAGCTTATAATTGGGTTCCTCAAACCCCATGATTTACTAAGATTTCAGTGCTTGGGTAAAGTAAACATCACTGAGGCATGGCAGTACACACCTAGCTACTTGGGCACCTTTGACAGGAGTATTTAAACTAAGAAACTGAGCCGAGCTAGCTGAGCAAGACATTTTTCAATATGAAATAAATATTTTGAGGTATACTTCTACCCCAAGCTAACTGGTCTAATATGCATGAATGCCTGAGATATTAGTAGTAAAGGGAAAAACAAAAATTTAGTGCAAATCTTACTTACAGTTTTGAATCTTACTCATTTTTTCACGGTAGTGGTACATGGCGGCTCATGGTAGCAAATTTGATATTAGTAATAATTAAGTATTCTGTCAGAAAAAGGACACCACAGGTGAACAACTAGTGATTTACAGTACGTATTCCTTAAAATACATGAGATATTTTGTGTTTTATTATGAATTTGACTGTGTTACATAAATTTCCCAAATGCAGAACAAGGTATGCATATTGAGCAGATTTAAAGAACCCAAGTCTTAGACAGGATATTTGCTTGTGGTCTCATATATTCTGTGCTTTTCAATGTTTTATCTTAAGTCGCTTTTCAGTTGATGAAGATGTCCTCTGTTTCCAACTCAGGTAACATTTGTCCATCCATTTGTTCAGAACTTCATAGAGTCCTTTGTAGGACATGACACTCATCAGAGGTTTTGTTTGTTTGTTTGAATGCTGAATCAGTTTTTCCTGAGCAACCTATTTTTTACAGCATTATAATTTTGTTCCAAAAAGTGAAAAATACTCTGCCATTTTTTCTTTCTTTCTTTCCTTTTTTTTTTTTTTTTTTTTTTTTTTTTGTGTGTGTGTGTGTTATAAAGAGCTATCCCACTCTGGTCAAAGTATTTGATTTACATGAGAATGAAGGGTTAGGATGGAAATTTTTGGAGAAAAAACTCAGGGCTGAGTCATTGAAACACAAGACACTGAACATGTATAAGGTTGAAGGGAAAGTATTTCCATTTCTCTCTGTGACTCACACTAGTTTTAGAGACTGTTGTCACTGCTTTGACCATGGGTCATTATCTGCCTTTCTACACCGGAATTATTCTGCCTAGAAAGCACATTAAGTTCCAAGCCTATAACTATGCTTTACTATCCTACACTTGGAAAGTATGCAGTTCCTCTGTGGAAGACAGTGTGCACTAGATGCTTTTATTTTCATAATGACCTCATAATCTCACTTGGATTTCACATGATAGTTCTTGGTGAACCAGCTGATAAGGGAGATTTACTACATTCTCCTTTCATGCTGCTGCAGTGGGACAAAAGGCACACTCATGTCTTCAGATAGCTGATTCCTGTAGTGTGCTGTTTCTCCACTGGGACATATTAATTCTATAATTTATCACATGTCCTTATTGGCATTCTGTGTCCATTCTTTCTGTTGCTCAGGGAGACTTAGTTATAGTGCACTCACCCAGAGTGCTGTGTCTCAACAGCCATGTCTGCATGAGTAGGCTTAGTAAATTCTGGGGATAAATGAAATGATGAGAAAATTCAAAAGCTTAAGTGACCAAAAAGTACAATATAAGGACCAATTATTTTTGAATGTATTCAAATGAAATTGGTAAATTATTACACTGTGCCAAAATTTTCAGAGATAATTTATTGGTTTGAGATACGGTTCAGTGTGAACATGTATATAACATGAAGGTGATTTTTATGAATTCATTTGACTCTGTGCAAATGTCATTGCTACATAATAAAGTTTCCATCAGCTTACATAAAATACCACGAAGTGTTTACCAGGTGTCTGCAACAGTGAGGATAAATGTGACTTCATGTTCAAATGTCTGATGCTGTAGATTTTATGACAGCTGCTTAAAGAATGTACTCTGAAGAACATAGGTTTCGGGGGAGGCCTAGCAATGTGGTAGAGTGGTGGTGTGGTTAGCCTGAGCACTGCTGAGTTTCCAGATTTAGGACTATTGTGGGAATGAATCCTGAACAATGGAAATTGTCACATACAAGGAGCATGGAATAGGACTGATTTTAGCCACCATACTTTTTTAAACAAATGTGTACTATAGTTCTCTCTATGCCTACATCAAATTCTTCAGCTTTGGAGGCAGAAATTATGCCCCTAAAATTCTATTGAATTCTGACATGAACTCAAGTCACAGTGAATTCACAGGTGTGTCCTTGTATGGTTTCACTGAGGATATTCTTAGTGTGAGATTTGAAAAGTTATAATATGCTGGCTGTGTTTGCAGGTGCATCAAGACTATAAACTTCAGTGACAAATATAGGAAGTATATATCTTCTCTTACTCCTATGCCTCACCTAATTATTTTTGAAGGAATATTGGAATTTTTTTCCTTAAAAAATAACATGAAAAACAGAACCTAAGTGTATTGTAAAGGGTATTCTCAAGGATAGAAATGAGTGCAGCATATTTCTTTGTATTACTGGAGGTTGAACTTCCCTCTGAGTGACGTCCAACCTTTTACATGCTTAGTTTTATTATTTCAGTTTTAATACTGGGTCTTTCTGTGGAGCTCAGGCTGAGTTTGACACTGTTCTCTTCTTAGCCTCCTGGATTGACACTATCACGATTGTGGATCACCAAGCATAATTGTCTAATGGGATCACGGTGCTTGGTTAAATTAAACACCATCAGTTTTTCATTTTAATGTCAAGAAAAGTTGAAAATGTTTTTCAGTAAGAATGAGTAGGTGCCATGCTGAAAGACTTCCTTGAAAACTTCTTGATCTAGGTAATTATCTGTGAATTTGAGATTGAGTCTGTGTGCTGTAAAAATTTTTGATAGATATGTTCCCTAGGTTCTCAAAGAAAAAATCTAAGACTGTTATAATTTTCTGTGTAGTCGAATGTCCTTCTCTTTTTATCATAAGCCATTCTGAGATATCATATTGATTTTTACTAATGGAGTGACTTAATGTGCTACAGCTTTAGAACTCCAGAATGATGACTTATAATGAAAAACGACATCACATGGCTTGTACAGCAATCTTCATATGAAGCAGTGTACCAGGACTGTGCTCTGAATTTGTCATCAGTTTGGTCACTTGGGGAGGTACACTGATTTTGGGCACACCAACTTTCATTGTAAAATTG